CGCTTTGTGGCATGGTGTGGAAACAATCATCTGACCTTGAACGTGAACAAAACAAAGGAGATGATTTTAGACTTCAGAAGAAACAGGGTGGAGTCAAACACTTTTTCCATCATGGGAGAAGAAGTGGAGGTGGTTGAGGAACACAAATACCTTGGAGTTCACCTGGACAACAGAATGGACTGGAGAAAGAACAGCGAAGCCGTTTACAAGAAGGGACACAGCAGACTGTGCTTCTTGAGGACGCTTAGGTCCTTCAATGTCTGTAGCAAGATGCTGCAGATCTTCTACAAGTCTGTTGTTGAGGGTGTAATCTCTTCAGCCATCGTCTGTTGGGGTAGCAGCATCAGAAGCAGGGACCTGAAAAGGCTCAACAGCCTAATAAAAAAGGCTGGTTCTGTTCTGGGGACGACTGTGGAACCACTGGAGGAGATCATGCAAAGAAGGATTCTCCAGAGAATCAAGAAAATGATGGACAACCCTGAGCATTCTCTTCACAAGACTGTCCGACAACAGAAGAGTGTCTTCAGTCAGAAGCTTCTTCAATTTGGCTGCAACACTGACCGCTACTGGAGCAACACCCATTGTAATATACAATAACTCTTTGATGACTTGATTATTATTATTATTGTAAGCTATTACAGCAATCCATTTTCCTCTGGGATTAATAAAGTATTTTTGAATTAGAATTTGAATTGAATTGAATTGAATAAACTACATGAAGATGAGTTCCTGCATCGTTCTTCAGTACAAGAGTTAGCTGTTTAGCTGCACTTGGGGCCGCAGTGAGGGCAGAACAGGCACCACTATTGGCACATTAGAGGTACATTATGACGTTAGCTGGTACCTGATGATGTCACAGTGTCGTTGTGAGCCTGTGTGTGTATTTGTTAGCGGCTCCGCCCTCTCGGTCTGCCAGGCAACAGCATTTGTTGCATTTTTCAAACATGAAGTGAGAGTGGGGTTAGACTCTGGTGGGGGTGACTTGCTCTTTAAAGAGTAGCTAAAACCCAAAATAACTTTTAAAATTTTTTTTGCTAATTAACTGTATAATAGGGTCTTTACAAATGCAATCTTTCTGTTTCCGTGCATTTTCTGACATGTTTTTGTAAACTAGATTAAATCTAGAATCTAGGTCTAAAAACGTCTTAGTGCTGCCCTCTATGGCAGAACTGTGGCTACTGCATTTTAAACTTGTGATTGACTGGGACTGGTACAATTTCATGTCATTGGTACAGTCTCCTCCCACTCCCCCTCCCTCCCAGGATGGAAATTCCCCACACTTGGCCTCTGTGTTGGCCTGCAATGGCCTAGCAATCTGTCCTGGGTGTACCCCGCCTGTTTGCCCTTTCACTGCTAGAGATAGGCACCAGCCCACCCTAACCCAGGCCAGACCAGTGTCTTTTCTTTGTACTTTGGTGGTGCGTGCGCATCGCGTGCTTCGGACCTGGTTGGATTGACAGTTTCTGCTTTCACAACACAACCAAGAGCGCTAAAGCCTAATTTATATGGTCTTCTTCTGCTTCTTCAGCGCTAGCCGCTAAGGTAAATCAACCCTTTCCTGTGTTAACAAAAGAACCAAATTATGCAATCAAAGGGTAATCAACTAAATATTGAGCATAGATCAGTATTGACTCTATGCTGAAGCACAGATGAGGATCTCAGTCTTATCTTCATTCAGCTGTAGAAAATTCCCAGCCATCCAGGATTTAATAGTCTAAGCAGGTGTGGAACCACAGCAGCTTGGAAATCTCATGGGGCTTAAAGGAGATGTACAGTTGGATGTAATTTGCATAAACATGGTAGGGTATTCCTTTAAAAGAGCTCAGGATGTGCTGGAGAGAAAGCAGATAGAGAATGACAAGTAAAGGACCTAGCACAGATTTTTGCAGGACACCATGGGTGAGGGGTGTGGTGTAGGACGTAAAAGGACATATCCTTGTCTAGAAGAAACAAAAGGTCCCTCACAAGAAATTACCACAGTTTGCTCCTCAGGTCCAAACAAGCTCATGTCTGTGAGACATGCTTATAGTCTGATTCACTGATTGGATTCAACGGGTTTCATGGATCATCAGACCAAAACTCAAAATAAGATTGTAATATTTGTACCCAATAGTAACAAATATAAAGTAATGAACATTGAACCCTGTGGAACTTCATGATTAACACTGGAATATAAATAAGACCTCAACCAGTTCAGTGATGTGTTTCAATCCTATCATGTTCAAGCCACCATGGCAGTTGCTAACAGACCGGCTTTTTTGGACCGGTTCAGCACACTAGGAACCAGGTACTAAAATGTTGGGGGGAAATACTGAACTTTGCTGTTGGAAAAGGCTGTCCAACCAAACTCAACCCAGATTTTGCCAAGGGCTCCTGGAAATTTTCCAAAGAGTGGTTGAAAGTTCTGCAGACAAATGTCAACAGCAACCTTGAGGGGATCATAACCCATCCATCCATGGATTCATCATCTTCCGCTTATTTGAGGTTGGGTCGCAGAGCAGCAGCCTAAGCACAGAGGCCCAGACTTCCCTCTCTCCAGCCGCTTGGGCCGGTTCCTTCAGGGGAATCCCAAGGTGTTCCTAACCAATTCTGTAAAAATGGAAGAAGATCCAGCCCGGCCTGTACTTTTTTTCAGGACACAAGAGAGGGACCATTCTACTTGAATGTTGGAACAGTTTTATCTCTATTCTGCAGAATGTGTGATCCACTGCTTTACAGCCTGGACCAGGAACCGTTCAGAACACCTGTCCTCTCAGCACCTAAAACGAATGGAAGCCATTCAAGAGGAGGAAAGAGGTCCAACAAATCCTGGGTGTATGCATCTCTGATATGACTTTCTTCAAGTGAGTTTCCTTTTCCACAACAGCTGACTTTGGTGACAAACTACCCTGAGTTTAGTTTGTGCATAATAAACGACATCGTCATTTGATGCCAAATGCTTAGATTCACCATGGCAACCACATGAAACAAATTCAAAAAACATTTGCAGCTAGAGCTTCCTAAAGCTTATGAAGGATATTCTATTCTGATTTATTCAGTTCTATTCTCGTCTATCTTCAGACATCTTCCTATGTGTGGTTGTGTGCCCCTTTATTAAGATATTTAAAGATGTGATAGTAGCTTTCTGATATTAGCAGCTTTCTTTAACTTGTTTCTGTAACTGATGCTTTGTCTCTTGAATCATTTTTGTGTCAAGCACCCTATTTAACTGGTGGTTTTTAAAATGAGCTTTCTAAATACAGTAATTAGACTGGAGCGTTGTGGTTGGTTGAGGGTATTCCAGTGACTGGGTTTATGCTGAGTCTGTGTTCCTGTGACGTTGGAACAAGGCTGTAAAGCACCGTGCTGCAGGATGTTTTCAATAGGCTGATGCAGCACATTAGCTTTGCACCATAGAGAAGTTGGGTGGGAGGGGGATTGGTGGTGCAGTGAAGATGATTAGAACCGGCTGAGAGGGAAATGAAGAGAATATCTTGTGAGAGAGAAAGAGTGAGAAAACTGGACAACTCTAATGATCTCACAGTCTGCAGTATTTTCTGTGGGGTTCAGCAGATACTCACTTGGCTACTGGTCTCCCTCGTTCCCTTTGCTTGAGAGAGGGAGTAACTTGGAAAGGGAAAAAGAAAGAATGAGTGAGAGAGGGTGGGGCCGGGTGAGTGTGCAGGAGGCATAAAAAGCTGTACTATACGCCTTTTTGCTCTGCTTTAATTAAGCCAAGCCAAAGTGGATAGAAAAAACAATATTGAGGGTACAGTGCGATGCAGAGGGCCAACATCTATACTGCTGTGTTTCAAATCTCTACTTTATCTGCTTAACTTAAATAAAATGTTACCACAGATGAAATTAGGGAAGACTTCAGTCCAGTGAAGGAGTTGCCGTTGGACAGATGGGTCGCCAACCCTGCACCGTGCCAAAGCGACCCTGGCTAACACACACACAGTTCTCCTCACTGCTCCAATGTGCACCGTCAGGTCCCTAGTTCAAAACTCAGCCAGGGCATTTCCTGTGCTGAGACTGGTGGGGGGGGGGGGGGGGGGGGGGGGGGTAAAAATGAAATAAAAATAATAATTTGGCACTTTAGTGCATCTTAGTTAAAATTTAAATATTCTACCTAAAACTGTCAGTGTTGCACCGTCTTCAGATAAAAACTCTGCACTACATTAGAATTTAAATCTGCTATTGCTATTGGCTAAGAGGTACACTATGATGTAGCTGGTACAGTATGATAAATGATAAATGACCCGCACTTGTATAGCGCCTCTCAGAGTAAGGACTCCAAAGTCTTTACACTACAGTGTATCATTCATTCATTGACACACAGTCACACACTGATGGTGATGAACTACGATGTAGCCACAGCTGCCCTGGGGCGCACTGACACAACAAGAAGATAATACAATCTCGTTGTGAGCCTGTGTGTGTGTGTGTGTGTGTGTGTGTGTGTGTATTTGTTAGTGGCGCCGCCCTCTCGGTCTGCCAGGCAACAGCATTTGTTGCATTTTTCAAACAGGAAGTGGGAGTGAAGTAAGAATCAATGGGGTGACTTGCTCTTTAAATTAGATCATTGCTTCTGAAAAAGGAAGAGAATCTTACAAATTGTTGAACGAATGAATGAACGAACGAATGAATGAACGAACGAATGAATGAATGAATGTGATTGTGCTGAAACAGCCAATCTCAACTCCCCCTGAGTGAGATAGCTCCTAATCCTAAGTGCCCTAATGAAACTGCCTTAATGACTTGTTTTCATAGATAGAAAAAATGCTGCATCTAAACGTCATTTGATGACGTCAAAGTAACTAATAATAAATGTATTTGATCAAATCTGGTGTATTTAGATTATTCTGTAACGGTGACTGTACTGATTCACAAATTATGCATACCTCTCTCTCTGTCTCTCTCTGTCACACACACACACACACACACACACACACACACACACACACACACACACACACACACACACACACACACACACACACACACACACACCAGCTGACTCCTCCCATCACCACTCTCCGGTTCTGTTGGCCCGGTGACTCCGGCTCGGCACTAGTCATCACCAGAGCCGGTACCGGGTGGATGGGGAGCAGCCGCCGCAGCAGCAGTTGGGCGCACCGACCGAAGCATGCCTTAGCGCAGCCATGACTTGCTCGGCGTCAGACAGCGAGAAGATCGTAATCAACTGCGGCGGGATCCGGCACGAGACCTACAGGAGCACTTTGAAGACGTTACCGGGGACACGCTTGTCCTGGCTGACCGAACCTGACGCCTTCAGTAACTTCGACTACGACCCGAAGTCCGATGAGTTTTTCTTCGATCGGCACCCAGCCACCTTCGCGTTCATCCTGAACTACTACCGGACTGGAAAGCTCCACTGTCCCAACAATGTCTGCGGTCCGCTGTTCGAGGAGGAGCTCGCTTTCTGGGGCATCGATGAGACGGACGTGGAGGCATGCTGCTGGATGAACTACCGGCAGCACCGTGACGCCGAGGAAGCCCTGGACAGCTTTGAGACTCCCGAACCGGACGCACCCGAGGATGACCCGGCGCTCACTGGTGGAGCGGACGGAGACCTGAAGCGGCTCTGCATGCAGGAGGATGGCCGCAGGGCGACGTGGTGGGAAGTGTGGCAGCCCAGGATGTGGGCGCTGTTCGAGGACCCCTACTCCTCCAAGTACGCGCGGGTGAGTGTAGCCCTCCGGTGTGAGTGGTTCGGAATTAGCGGAACAGGTAAACATGGTCACACCGTCAGCACTGCGGATTTTCCTCATCCAGCCTCACCATCACTGTTCGGCGGTCCTGTCCTGTCCTGTCCTGCCTGATGTTCCGCAGTGGTCCTCCTGCAGTGGCTAGATGTTCTAATTCCTGACCATGTAACTAGAGGGACAAATAAACCAGCCAAACTGAAGGTAGATACTGGTTGATGTAAAATAACCAAAGAGAGGGTTCTGCTGCCCCATCATCCCATTGAAGTCATTTTTGTTAGGGGTAGGGGTCAAAACTCCTAATTTACACTCATTTTTGAAACGTCAGTAGCCTTCATAACCCAACACTCTGATGTCAGTCAAGAGAAGTAGAAATCATGAATGGATCCAAACTGCCTAATGAAAAAGCAGGGGCATGTGTGTGTGTGTGTGTGTGTGTGTGGGGGGGGGGGGGGGGGGGGGGGGGTTGGTGTACGTGTGTGTGCGTGCGTGTGTGTGCGTGTGTGTGTGTGCATGCGTTTGTGTGTGTGGGCCATGTGTGTGGGCCATGTGTGTGTGTGTGTGTGTGTGTGTGCGTTTGTGTGCGCGTTTGCGTGTGTGTGTGTGTGTGGGGGGGGGCATGACTGTGTCCATGTGTGTGTGTGTGTGTGTGTGTGGGGGGGGGGGGTGTCAGGACTGTGTCCGTGTCCGTGTGTACGTGCGTGTGTGTGTGTGTGTGTGTGTGTGTGTGTGGGGGGGGGGGGTCATGACTGTCCGTGTGTGTGTGTGTGTGTGTGTACGTGTGTGTGTGTGTGTGTGTGTGTGTGTACGTGCGTGTGTGTGTTTGTGTGTGTGTGTGTGTGTGTGTGTGTGTGTGTACGTGCGTGTGTGTGTTTGTGTGTGTTTGTGTGTGTGTGTCCCTTCAGGAGCTCAGAGTGGCTGCTCTTGCTCAAAACGACCCAGCTGAGATGGTTCAAGCATCTGGATGTTTTCTGAAGTCCTCACACATCCATTAGGATGGGTGGAAAGAATCAAACAGCTCCACAGCAGTAGCTTCTAAGGGTGGTTTTTGGTGGTGTGTGACCAATAAAACAATAAGCTGGGGAGGTTGAGTTGGTTAACAGAGAATGTGCTCATTCTGCAGTAAAGCATAATACCAGCAGTAGGGTATCACATTAACTCCTGCTGTACTAAAACACAGGATGGACGAACCAAAAATAATAACAATAAAAGTCAACTTTCAGGGTTCATTGTCTTACCCAAGGTCAACTGTTCTTTCTTTTAGAGCCGTGACCGTCCACAACCTTGTAGATATCTTGTAGGTACGCTGAAAGTAGACAGTTACACACATCATAATACATCCCTGTCCCTGCAGACACCATGTAAGTACTCTCTAGATACCATTGAAGTAACAAGTAACACTTCAGAAAATAGTACACTTCTCCAAGGTACCCTGTACATCCGTCTATCTATCTATCATCTATCTATCTATCTTCTATCTATCTATCATCTATCTATCTATCATCTATCTATCTTCTATCTATCTATCTTCTATCTATCTATCATCTATCTATCTATCTATCTATCTATCTATCTATCTATCTATCTATCTATCTATCTATCTATCTATCTATCTATCTATCTATCTATCTATCTATCTATCTATCTATCTATCTATCTATCATCTATCTATCTATCATCTATCTATCTATCTATCTATCTATCTATCTATCTATCTATCTATCTTGCTCACAAACAGAATAAATAACACAGAAGACTGCATTCATATGATTTTTATAAAAGATTTGGACAAAAGTCTGGGCTATAATCAAGTGAAATAAATATATTACTATAAATATATAAAGATTTTCTTGGAACAAAAAGTCCATGCACCCATCCTCCTTCACAAGTACGTTAATGACATCATTGTGAATTCCAGATATTAGTCATCCCTGCTGAATGGAGTTTTAAAGCTGCAGTAGCAAATTTAGAAAACAAATGAACCCAAAACATTTTTTTCATGCCTTTTAACAATGTTCTAACAAAGTAAAGTTATAAATATATTGTGGAGATTAAAAAACTGAAAAATAAAAATGAAATTAAAAATAATGAAGTGGTTCTCTCGTATTTGTCTAAAAACCTCCACCAATAAAACGTTTGGGACTAAAACCAACTATTGGACTGTCTGGTTGTTGGTCTCACAGAACTGCTGCACTTCCTTGGGTCCTCCACACATACACACTCACATATTCAGCAACATCACACGACTGGTGAGAGCTTCTCTGCTCAATAATATCAGAGAAGGAGAAACAGTCGGCTGCTACCACTTCAACTTTAGGATAAACTACCAGATTCCCCAAAAGAAAAACACCATTAGTCAGATCATGCTATTCTAAAAGCAAAGATAGGCACAGCATCTTAGATATGAGTTATTCTTGTCAGCCTGTCTCTGTACCCAGAAATGAAATGGTCTGTTTCAGTCAACCCCACCTCTTGTGGCCGTAGCTCCACCCACTCATTACATAACCCACAAAGCATCATGGGCCATGACGAAGCAACAAATAAGAAAGTGTCCTTTGAAAAAGCGTCGGCGCTCCATCCATGCCCGTTTAGTCAAAACGCAAATACAACAGCTGTGTCTTGGGAAATTCAATCATTGTATTAGGTTTAGTGGTCTAGTGAATGAAGCATCTGCCTTTAGTCTTGTTGTGCCCTGTCCCGACCAATAAAGGCTACAAAATAAAACTGGCAAGTGTAGCTAAAAAATAAATTACTGCTGAGACTGTGAATCGAACTGGCGTAAGATCATACCAAACAGCATGCAAAGCAGGTGCTCTATACGCTGAGGCAGCAGTACTCAATAGGCAGCCCATAGGCCGGACCCGCTTTCGCTTCTAGTGTGCTGTAGGGGATAGTCATTCATAAGTTATAAACTCATGGCAGTAATGTGGCACGATCATTTGTTTTTCACAAATGAGTGGTTGACGCATTGTCAAGGACTTTTTTTTTTAACTTGAACATAACTTATTTTTATTCCAATTGAAGCCACGGACGGTCTGGTGTAACATGATGTAAGTGGTTACTTTTATTGAATGATCAGTAAAATGTGATATTTCATATAAATATGAATGATCAATATTACTGGTCTTTTAATATTTCATTTAGGATGAAACTAAGTTTTTTGGGTAGTCCAGGGAAACCACACTTCATTATAATTTGAGACAGAGGCAAAAAAGTAGTTTATAATAATCAATACTATATTTCTACTACTAATGATGATACAGAACAAATTATGATAAATGATGGTTTAAACAATATAACTGAGACAATTAATGAAAGGATAAAATGTGAGTTCATGTTGTGTTAAAAAAATACATGATTAAGTCCATCCATCCATTTTTAGCCTTTTATCCAGAGCCAGGTCACGGGGGCAGCAGCCTAAGCCGAGACACCCAGTCTCCCCTCTCCCCAGCTACTTGGGCCGGCTCCTCCGGGTGAACCTCAAGGCATTCCCTGGCCAGGCGAGATACATAGTCCCTCCAGAGTGTCCAGGTTCTTTCCTTGGGTCTCCTCCAAGTAGGACATGCCCGGTAAACCTCATCAGGAAGGCATCCAGGAGGCAGATGCCTGGATGTCAGATGCATTAGCCACCTCAACTGGCTCCTGTCGGTGTGAAGGAGTAGCGCGTCTACTCCGAGCCTCTCCTGGATAACCAAGCTTCTCGCCCTACCTTTAAGGCAGAGCCTAGCCACCCTGTGGAGAAAACTCATTTCTGCCGCTTGTATCTGCAATCTCGTTCTTTTGGTCCCTACCCAAAGCTCGTGACCATAGGTCAGGGTAGGAACGTAGATCGACTAGTAAATCGAGAGCTTTGCCTTCCAGCCCAGCTCTCTTTGATTAAGTGTCTTAAAAATTGATTGTGATGTCTTGGTTGTAAAATAAGTCTGGACCTATATTTAATGGTTTAACAAATTATCAATTACTAAAACCATCCACACCAGTGTGCAGAATCTACGAACCCTGGTTCCTGGCAATCCAGGGTCCAAAGAAGTCGGTACGGACAGGTTGCCGATGGAATTGACTTCTGTGGTATTAAAAGCTCGTAGCTTGTTACAGTCCCTGTGTCCTAGTTCCTCTGTATCCCGATTTTCCTCTGCCCTGCTCCCCTAGCCTGGCCTGCCAGACTCGTCCTCTGTTTAATTCTGCACAGAGAATGAGTCTGGTAACTCACAGGCAGAGAGGCACTTGAGGGGCGGGACTAGGCAGCTCAAAAGTAACCAATCAGAAAAAAGACAGAAATGCCGACTGTACCGTGCAACACTGTAGTGTTTTTAGCTGTAGTAAAAAATGGCACAAACATCTTTTTATTTTTTAAAAGAAACACTTTTAGCGCTTCTACTTGTTGTGATTTTAAAGACATTCTAGTCATTTAGAACAGAGGAAAGAGCTGCAGTGAACTCCGCTTCTGTCTTCGTTGTTTATGAGAAACTGAGCGTCGCTGTGTGTGACATCCCCGACTCTGTAGTTTTCTAGCTGTAGTCAAAAATGGCGACAGTGCAAACATCTATCTTTAGAAACAAGGCTTTTAGCGCTTCTACTTTTTGTTTTAAAGATGTGTCCAAGTCATTTAGACCTGAGGAAAGAGCCGCAGCGAACTCCACTTCAGTCGCCGTGTTTATGACAAACTCGGTGTTATGGTGTGTGACGTACGCTGCTCAGCACTGATTGGCTCGGTTAGAATTCTCAGGGGGTGGGGCTATTTGAATAGGAGAGTTCCCAGACCCTTTCTCTGTGCAGAATTAAACAGAGGAGGAGTCTGGCAGGCCAGGCTACTGTTCCCCCACAACACAGCCTTCAGCACCTGGGACAGCTCCAGAGTGACACTCTCCCTCAGTTCAACCCACTATTGGAGAGAGGCACGCCAGCCGCAGCAGCAGAGGCAAATCTGCCATTCTTCTCCCCTGAGGATATTTACACCTGAAGCCAGCCTTCATTCGAGG